CTGGATGATCTATAGTACCTGTGGTGGTTTCTAGTTAATATAAAAATAATATAGCTTAAACTTTATATATTAATATGTAACAAACTATCTATATTAATAAACTAGAGTAAAGTCTTACTTTAGCCATTAAAAAAAAAAAAAAAAAAATCTATTTTACAAAACACTTATTAACAAGTTATTCTAGATTTGTATATAATTCTTGAATCTTTAATATTAAGATTATCATGTTTTTTATATAATTTAACTATTTATTAACTATTTCACTACAAAGAAGTAGATCTATCAATTATTATTGTATAATATTATTTATCTTAGACTTTTCAAATTTTAACTCTTTAGATATAATAATTGAAAATAATAAAAGTTGTTTTTTTTAAGTCTAGATATTATAATCTCAATTTTAAAAAATCAAATCTAGTTTATATTTAAACTGTCACCTCAACACAAATCAGTAATTATAAAAAATAAAAAAAATTATTTTTAAGAAAATAAAGAAAGAAGAAAAGAGTAGTTAAAAAGTTTGTTTTGGTAAATAAAACTATTCAATATCAATTTTGGTTTATTAAAATAAATTCTTTATCATCATCTGCAGCTAACAAACAATTTAATTTTCATAATTTTATTGTTAACCAAAAATATTCAAGATACTTATAATAAAACTTATACACTTAAGAAATTATTGTTTAAAACAAGTCTTATATTATAAGAAATTATTGCTTGATACCTTTTTAGGATAATAATCAACAAAAAAACTTGTTACTAGATTGAAATAGGATTTTTTTTATTCTAAAAAAAAACCCCCAGTTTAAAAAAAAGAAAAAACATTATAATACTTCTTAACAATACAAATATTTTGTCATATTGTTTTTTATACAATATTTTATAATATTATTAAATTAATTGTTATACAAAACAAAACATATAGAAGTTATATGTTTTGTTTATATTTTTTTATATATATAAATTAATTAATTTAAATTTCGTATCTATTATTTAGAAATTCTAATATAATCAAAAATTCTGAGTCAAACTAAAGTAAATAAAATTCTTAAAAAATAAAAAAAAAGTTTACATGTTTGAAAAATAGAAAAAATACTCAAAAAATATAAGAGTTTCAGAAACCTGTGCTTATCTTTCCTAAAGTCTTGAATCTCTGAAAAAAAATAGGTATTTTTTTTTACAAGTTTTTTTTTTTAATAAAATATTTTTTCCTTTGATTTTATAGGTAGGTTTTTCTTATATTTATTTATAGAAATATAAAAGGTTTATTTTAAAGAGAAAAAGAAACAAGTAAAAAGAGAAAAGAATCTTTAAATAATAATATTATTAAGAACAATATATAGACTATATTATAAAAAAATATGAAACTTCTTTGGAACATCTGTTTTTTGTGTTGAAAAGAAAATTGGTAAAAAGGGTTTATAAATATAAAAAACATATATATTATATACAGTAAATAGTTTTTATAAAAATATTATATCTAAAAAAAATTATATATATAGACTAAAATATTTTTTATATAATTTTAAAAAATCAAAAATTATATTATTTTTTAATAAATATTAATTTAAAATATACAGTATATATATATTAAATTAAAAAAAACTCTTTTCTATTTTCTTTTCTTGTGCTTGAAAAATTTTTTTTTAGGAAATTTTTGTATTGTTTATTATTTTACTCTTTTCTTTTTCCATACTCTTATTCTTCTTTTTTTATATTCTTTTTTTTTCTTTTCTCTTTCTATTCTATTCTATTCTATAAACTTTTTTATATATTTTTCTTATTCTCTTTTGCTTTTTTCTAAATTTCTTGTCAAAGTTAGGTTTTTTCTTTTTCTTGAAGTTTTTTTTTTTTTAAAATTTTTTCTTCAAAATATTTCTTTTTATTTTATTATTTCTCTAATCAATTAATACTCTTTTTTTAAGAATTATATTAAGAAATAGTAACTTTTCTCAAGATATTAACTTTGGAAAAAAATTTTTTTTTATAATTTTTTAGAAAAAGAATAGATGGCTTACTTTTTTCAAAAGATCAACATGGCCATAATTACTAAATTCAATATTGTTTATTTATTGGTAATAAAACCAGATATATCTAAAAAGCTTCTGTACAACTATTATTATTTGAATTCTTTTGAAATTATGCTCCATAATATTCAGTAATATAGTAGCCAATATTAGTATAGAGAAATTTGCATGTGCTATGCAATGGATAAAGTATCTAATAATATAATACATAATAATCAAAAATTTTAATTATTCTTACAAAAAAAGCTGATATTATTAATACAAATTTTTTATATATCTCTTGACAATATAAGTCTATTATATTTAGCCAGATTTCAGTACTTATAAGGATAAATAAGATTTTTATATTTAATTTTTTATATATAAGAAATTAATTATTCAATAATTAGTTTTGTTCTGTTTCAAATCTTATAGTATGGTATTATCTAATTGCTTAAATGATTTATTTTCCAGTTCTTATTTGTAATAAAATCTGTTGTTTCCTTTTTAATATTAAGTTCTAGTAAATAGATAAAAGATAAATACTGGATGTATTAGATAAAAAATTGATTTTACTTTGAAAGATACTACATGTGACACTATTTAAATACTTTAATAAATCAGTTACTTTGAGTTTGAAACAGTTCAAGACTAATATTTTATTAAAATTATTTATATAGTATAATTTTTCATATTACTATTTAAACAATATATTACTTTTAAAAATTTTTTCTAATAAAGTTTAAATAGTTATTTTGATAGGCTATTATTAAACTTATATAAACTGAAAAATATAAATTGTACAATTAAATATTATATATTAAATCAAAGAATTGATACTTATTCAATATATATATTAAATAAATTTTTTTTAATATTAATAAATAATTTTAATTATAAATTTTTATATTAATTAGTAATATTGTTTAAATAATATATTATTTTTATATTATTTATTATAAAATAATATATAAAATAATATTAAAAAAATTGAATTTTATAGTATTATATATTATTTCTATCTTGGAAGAAAGATAAAGACAGAGAACTAGTAATAGAAAGACATTTTGTTTGAAAGAACCAATGTGATATGCTAAAGTTTTTAAGATTTATCAAAATTAATACAGTTCTAAGGTATATGGAATCAAATGAAAGAGACAATAGTGATTTGTTTTAATAAAGATCAATTTATTTATTTAATAAAATGAAAGTTTAACTCTGTCAGTTTTTAAATGAAATTGAAGACTTTATATATATATTTGAGTTATAATATTTTTGTATATGATAAATATAAGTTATATAAAATAATAAAGATATGAAAGAAATATTATATTTATTAAAACAGTCATTTATATATATTAGTATAGAAATAAATGCTCTGGTAAAGATAAAAAAATAAAGATAAAAGAGTAAAGATAAATAAGTAAAATAGAAAATATTCTATAGTAGCAATAGTATGAAAAGCACAATGATAAACAATAACAAAGTAGCAATACAAAGATTACTTTAGAATAGGCAATATTTCAAGAATAAATGCTAGTAAAAATAAGACAAAAGATAGTAAAGATTTTGGGTAAAAATCAAGTAAAACTAATATATAACATAAAATTCTTAATTAAAAATAATTATTTAAATAATAATAATAACAATATAATCTATAAATTAAAATAAGTAAAGTAATTTTATAGTATTTCTATATTTATATTTAAATTTAAATTTAATTTAAATAAGTTTTTACTAAGTTATATACATTAAGAAAATTTTTAAATAATTTTGGATACTACTATATATAAATTTAATTTTGAAAATATAGGATTGTATATTTGATTTAATTAATTATTTTTAATTTTTAATTGATTTTAACTATAATTTTGAGATCAAAATTAATATTTGTTTAAAAATTAATTTATTTAGTAATAATATTAATAGTATAATCATTATCAATTAATAGTAAAGTAATATAAATTATAATATAGATTTAAGAAATACAAGTAATATTAGTAAAGAATTACTTTGTAATGATCATTGAACTTTAAGTTTATATAAGTAGACAATCAAGTTTTAATGCACTATATAGCTCAAATATTTTATTCTTGTTAAGTAAAATATCTAATCTTTAATTGCATTGCATGATATATTCTAAGTTTAGATTCTCTTGAATTTTGTAAAGCAGAGAGTTATAAAAAATTTGTCAAAAAAGTTGTATGATAATATCTTCCCAATATATGCTATAAACTGTTACAATGATCACCAATAAATTTAAGCATATTAGTCTACTGTTAAAAATAACAACTATATAAAATAAATAATAAATTGTCGAATGGTTTCATTATAAATATAAACATATGAAAATATAATTTACAAAATTACTTTGTATTCTCAAGTAACATGTACTTTCACAACCTTAATAAAGTAAGCTTCAGCAATGTTGCAATATATATATATATTAAATCCATTTGAGAAATGTCACAGGACCATAACTTATTACTGGAGTTATCTTTTTTTTTAGTAATGTCAATATGATTTATAAAAATTTATTGAAACATTCTTTTGAATGTATATAATGATCATTAATAAAATTGATAAATTCTATATCCTATGTAGGTACAAATTGACGTTGTAATTAATTTTCTAGTTTAATATAGAAAATACCGTTTTATAATTGCCAAGGCTTCATTATTTGTTCGAATTTTCTCGTTTCTTTGGACTTATTGTATCTAGAATTACTCCTCGACAAGATAGTTAACAATGTCTTGATAAGCCACTGAAGTTTTTGAAAAGCTAATTTTACAAACCATTACGAGAGAAATTTAAACTTTTTTTTTTTACAAAAAAATTATATTTATATAGTATATTACATCATAATTTTATGTTTGTATAATTCAATTTGTAGAAAGTATCGGACTTGCAATTATCGCAAATAAAATATAATCACTCATGTATAGTAATTATTCAATCACATGATTTCCATCACAATAATTTACAACAAAAAGGATGGACGAAGCAGTTGATAGAGGACTTGTAGAACTTTTCAGGTTAGTTTTGCTTGTCTAGTAAGAAAAAACAAAATGTATTTAACAAAAGGTGTTTTATGTAGGTCCCTGGAGACTCGGCTCAAGAAAATATACTCCGTTCGGTACCGAGAGCAGATGATAAAACCGCCCCAGTGTCGAACAATTCTAATAATAACATTGTGGGATACAATATTTCTTCTTTGGATGTACCATATCCGTCAGCCTACCAAGAAGATGTAACTTTAAGACCAGAAATCATATCTTGTCAAGATATGGGAACTCCTGGCCGACAAAATTACAATGATGGAGATGAATACAAAAAGTTTTTCGGTGACAGTAAAGCCAAAATTTCGACGAAAAAATCTCAGAAAATGTGAAAGATGAATATTGTAAGATCCATGATTGGGGCGTTGATTCGCTGCAGAAGTGCACTAACACGACGAATGAGAACAATAATTTACAACAGCAACAGACTAGCAACAATGTCGCGGGTGAAATCAATACCGGCATTACAGTAGTACCATTCGAATGTTTTCCTAACCAAGAAAGAATCCGAACAATGCAAGCATCCTTGGGGAAACTGCTTCGAATTGGTACCTTGGCGGGCACTACGTGGACGACAGAAAATCCGAAAACACTGTGTCGTCTTATACTCCCGGATAATCACTCTGTCGAAGAGGGAGATTCTTCTTTCGTGTCTCAAGTGCCAAAGAATGGTGGAGATAATGAATCGCACGGGTGTTGCAATAATCCAAACAATCCACTCATGATCGTTGAAAAGATCGTAAGCGAATCCGATCGTCTTCGTGTTACATCCTTTATTGGTATTAAGATCCAAAGCGAAGCCCAACCAGATAATCTTAAAAACTATATGGCGCAGGTTAAACGGTATGGTTTCGATCACATCATCATTATTGGTAAGCTCTATTGTGGAATCCTTTTCCTGGACTGTTATGGTCGCATATTTGAATGGGATCCCATGGATCTTTTGTTATGGCCACTCGGGGATTATTTCAAAGGGGTAGTGAATAAATTCAATACTAACCGGGTGGCGTGGGGCATGGCAAACGATGGAAGTGTATTTGAGGTCGAAAACTGTATGTGTAGATTTGTTCGTTTTTCTTTATCTTAATCCTTTTATAACTATTTTCTTTTCTTCCAGATTTACTAAACAAACTAGATGAACACAATACCCATCTTTTTCCAAAGAAAGGCAAGAAAAGTAAAAACTCGAAAAAGAATAAGCATCACTGATTTAGGTTTCTTTGCTATGCTATCATTGAGGATACGAAGGTTATTTGTTTCAGCTTAGTTATGTATATAATGTTATATAGTACTCAAATCAATCATTTTTTATTTTTACCGCGTGAACTCGAGTTTCACACATTTTTTCTCGAATTTTTATTATATACTCTGCTTCAAAAGAAGTTGCCCGCATTGGCTTTAAATTTTTTCCAATAAAACTATGTCATCGGATTAAAATGTTCAAAGTATTTTTCATACACATATGTTTATTCGAATTTTTCTCGGGGATGAGTTACGATTCCTTTAACCCATAACTTTACATGAGAAAAGTATTTTTTCTAATGCATGAAGTGCTGTGAATAGTTTTAATATACTTTTAAATTCTTTTTTCATCATCTTAAAGGTCTTCATTTAAGGGTAACAGCACATTGAGAGTGATCAGTAGTAGTACAGTAATTCACAACCTAACTTATCTGCACATAATGTTGACATTGATCCACAACCTCAACGCAACCTTTCTTATCTATGGGCTGCATCATGATGATTAGTATCTTGTACTAGCTCCTCTAAAAAGAAGATGCCGAGATTACGAGTTACATGTGTTCTATAGGGTACACGAAGCTTCTCATCTTTTCGATATACTTATTATATAGTCTTGATTTATTTTTTAATATAATAATACATCAGAATATTAATTATTACTTTATTGCATGGATATCAATGTGTATTAACCTATAAATCTAATTTAGAATAGATCCATGTCTTACATAAAAAATACGAAAGACAAGTTAAGAAGAGAACATCGAATTCAAGATCGGTATCGATGATTTGGAGAAAAATAAAACAGATACTGTTACCGAGAACGATATAAAGTTGTGAAATTAGAACAGATAAGAGATGAACTTAAAAAAAATTAGAATATAAGGAAATTGAAAATTTCAGGAAAAAAAGTATTATAATAGCCCCGATGCTTTTTAATGAGCAACCAGTAATTGAATGTTGACCCTCTTTTATGGAAGGATTAGAACTTGATGCCTTTTCCAATACAATCGATTTGTATTAGAGGTCCAAGGAGCACAACATCAGTTTCACAGCACAAAGATGTTAAATAACTTGAGGATAATGTTTACTGTGATTGAAAGAAAAGAACACTATGTCAACTTAACAAATCTATCTTCTTCAGATATAATATAATGAGAATCCAGAAGTCACTATTCCTAAGAAGATATATAAATTCAGAAAGCTTATTGATAATCTTTACATGGTTAAATACAATTCCTTGGCATCATACGCAATAGAATTGATTATGTGCATAGCCTATTCATAAATCGCTATATATACATATTTTTGCTCAAACATAACATAACGATTACTTACTTGCCCAGAGACATGTCCCATATGTAATAAATATCATAAGAAAGAAATATAAAGATGATATACTGGATTTATTAGGTAGTGGTGATTATATTAATACAGGAGCTTATCATATCAATCATGTATTTAAATAAAAAGATGTCATAAGTATTTAATTTCACAGCAAAATAATATAAAATATTTCATCAAAATAATTGTCAACAAAGCATTAAAACAATATGAAGATGTTTATTTGATTTATAAAATACGAAAATAATATACTTAATTGTTCCCTTGAGAAAGAACAGAAAGAGAGAGGAGGAAGGAATGGGACAAGTACAAGATAATAGATTGATAATAAAATTCCATCCTTCCTCGAACTATTATTTTGAATTACTTGAGAATTTGTCAGTTAAGAATGATTATTTTATGTTCTATAATTGAGTTAAAAAATTTATTTTCACTATTATCATTTACTTTCCGAAAAAAAAAAATCGATTGCGGCCGTCGGGATGAAGGATAGCTAATACTATTTAGGATCCGTATCGCTTTATTCTTGGCATCCATGCATTCGAACAAGTAATTATAATAATTTAATTGCCAAAATTTGGTTCGGTTAAATTCTTTGGTTCCGGGAGGCCTTTAAAATTGAAGAATCGACTTGTATACATTGCAGATGAATGCATCGATGTTTGATTTCTGGTCGAAGAATCTGACGTCCTGTTTCTAATTGTATTAGTCTGCTCAGTAAATGTTATATCCGGAAAATTATGTCTACCATCTTTCCACTCATTTAAAATAGCACATAATTCATGTGCAGTATAACGGTTCTGCGGCTTAGCATCCCAACATTTTTGTATTAGGTAAATTGCTAAATCAGGAAGGTCAACAGAAATTTTAGGTCGTAATCCTTTGCAAATTTCGATTGCAAGTTCGTTATCGTGTGGAATGTTGTGAAAAGGAAGAATACCAGACAATACTTCATACATAATTACACCAAATGCATAAACATTGGCTTCCTTGGTATACTCCTTTCCATGTAAAACTTCGGGCGCCATGTATGGGAGCACACCATAAATCTTTTGCTCTTCGGAGCCGCTAGCGGATTCAATAATTGATTTACAAAAGTCTAAATAAGTCATATAAGGTAAATCTTCGTTGGATAAAAGAATATTCCCAGTATGAAGATTTTGATGGACTAATCCAATGTCATGTACTTGACGTAGGCAATCCACAATTCGAAGTAATATAGCAAATTTCTCTTCATATTTCATTGCACGAAATTTAGAAAGATTATTTCTAATACTTCCACCGTAAATTAATTTCATGACAATCATAAGATTATTTGTTTCTTCGTTTCGAGTAAATCCATAGCAGTTTGCGATGCGAGAAATGTGGTCACTGTAATCGCATAGATCTCTTATCTAAAATTAATTGACGACAAAAGATTAATAAGCGTTGTTAAGTAATAACGTTAATATCATGAAATTAATAACCTCATCTAAAAATTTATTGGTTATGTTTATTGGATAATCAAGGCATTTCAACGCAACATTTGTAATTCCCCTTCTTTCCCACTGGCTATTTTCTACATCCCAAAAAAGGATGGATCCATCAGTCCATTCAGCTGAATATACTTCACCAAAACCTCCTTTGGCAATAAACGCTACGTTATTTAATTTCGAATATGGAATCCACTCGAGAATTCTATGTTTATTAGTTGCCGTTATCTGCAACTCTTTTATAAGTGCGTCAATATCATTGTTTCCACTTTTCCAATTATCGAATTCTTGTTGAAAACGAAAAGAATTGCAAGGTTGGCACCAATCTGATGTCATCTTCTGGTTACATTGATCACATTCATCTACTATTTACAATAATTTCAATTTCTCAACTTGCAATGAAACCGAAAGTATACAAAGCAAACACAGATATTTAGATTCATTTCGTATATTTTAACAAAAAAAAAAACAAATGCCCTTGATATACTTACCATTTAATAGTCACATGGATACAATTAAATATCTCATATTATTTAAGAAATAATAAAAATTTCTTGAATTCAACTTACCATCTGTAAAAAACAAGCAGATATTGCAGATCACATCTCGTGTATTTTATTAAAAGTTAATGTCTTGGATAAACTTACCACCTACAATAATAAGCAAAGATGTAAATAAATAGGTTGATATATTATTTATTAAAACAGTAAAGTTTCTTGAATTTAACTTACAATCTAAAACGAAAGCAAGAATATTCAGATCGCATTTAGTACATTTTGTTGAAAAATAATATGAATGTCCTGGATAAGCTTACCGTCTATAACAGTAAAGAAAAATGTAACTGACTGTATTGTAGATTACATCTTATATATTAGTAAAAAAAAAATGTAAGTTTTTTGGATAAACTTACCGTCTATAATACAAACAAATATGCAATTAAATATTTAGTCGTTATTCGAAATTTCTATAATTCAAATTACCATCTATAAAAAACAAGCAAAGATATTACAAATCACATTATTAAAAACTAATGTAAATGTCTTGCGCAAACTTACAGTCTACAATATTAAACAAAGATATAATTAAATATTTTGTCAAATTATTAAAAATAACTTTTTTTTCTTGAATTCAACTTACAATCTATAAAAAGCAAGCAAATATAATTCAGATCACATCTCATATATTTTATTAAAATATGATATAAATGTCTTGGATAAACTTGCCATCTACAATAGTAAATAAAGATACAATTAAATATTTTGTCATATTATTTAAGAAACAACAAAATTTCTCGAATTCTACTTACAATCTATAAAAAACAAGAAAATATAATAGATCACATCTCATATATTTTATTAAAATATAATATAAATGTCTTGGATAAACTTGCCATCTAGCAATAGTAAATAAAGATATAATTTAATATTTTGTCATATTATTTAAGAAACAAAATTTCTCGAATTCAATTTACCATCTGTAAAAAACAAGATATTACAAATCACTTCTCATATATTTTTTAATTAAAATAAATGATTTGGATAAACTTACCATCTACAATAGTAAAGAATACAATTAAATATTTTGCCGTATTATTTAAAAAACAACAAATTATCTTGAATTCAACCTACCATCTATAAAAACCAAGCAAAGATATTTTAGATTACACCTCGTATATTTTGCAAAAAATAATGTAAATGTCTTGGATAAACTTACAGTCTACAGTAGTATAATTAAATATTTTGTCATATTTAAAAACAAAATTTTTTAATTTTAGCTTACAATCTATAAAAAGCAGGCGAAGATATTGTTCTAAAAAAATAACGTAAATTCCTAGGATAAACTTACCGTCTATAATTGTAAACAAAGATGCAATTAGCTTTATTGCAGACCACATCTTGTGATTTTTCCAAAAAAATACAAAAACGTCCTGAATAAACTTACTATCTGCAATAGTAAACATAGATATAATAAAATATCTTGTCATATCATTCAAGAAACAACAAATTTTGTTTAACTCACAATCTAAAAAATAAGCAAAGAATAATGTAGGTGTCATCTTGTATATTTTGTTAAAAAGTAATGCAAATTATGTGCATAAAATTACCCTCTATAGTGTCAAAAAAGATACCATTAGAAATGTTGTAGATCGCATCT